CCCCCCTTGAAATTCTGTTTTAACTGTCCCATTGCCCCAGTGCTTGCCAAAGCCAGTTCTGACTAATCTCATTTGTCAGTGTGTCCTTTGCCATTCCCTATCTCTCCTCCCTGAGAGAGACTTCACCCTGATTCATAAGGAAAAGGGAGAAGTTGACAAACAGTGCGTGGGGTGAGCAGTGACTCTCTGGAGAAAGTTGTCTCTCCCTCCAGGGCCCAGCTCAGCTGGAATTCACTACTTCAAGGTCTGACAAAATGGTGATTTTATTGGTCAGCCTTCCAAGAAAGTTTGCGTTTTTTAAAGCTCTGTGGATTTTTAAATTGTTTTTTAGCAAATCAGTGATTTAAAAACTGAGCCATCAAGCTGATTCCAATTCATACATAGCAACCTGAAAGGTCGGAGTAGAACTGCCCATGAGTTTCCCCAGGCGGTAGTGGACTGCCACATCAGCCTCCCACGGAGCAACTGGCGGATTCGAACACCTGAACTTTTGGTTAGCCTAATACTTACTGTGCACCCAGGTCTCCTCGACTTAGTGATCACAAGTATAAATATGAAGAAAGATGCCACCGTTTTAAGAATTACAAATAGAATTAAGTGTTGGCAGCATTATTACAATCCTAACTTTACAAAATAACACAAAGATTTAATTTCTGATTTTTTTTAATACAAAAATTTACAGAGGTCAGTAACTATTTTCTTATTGGATAAACCTACAGAATTTCTGATATGTCTGTCTTTGTACATTTTAGTTGTTATAGAATATTTTATATTTTTATCACCAAAACTAGATTTGCTTTATATTTTCAATAAATTTAAAAAAAACCCAAAAGCTTCAACTCTGAGGTCTGATTTTCCGTGCAGGCTCAGGCTTGCGTAGACCCGGCCATTCTGGAGTGGGTTGACTCACTCTGCACAATGTTTTTAAAAACTTTGAGGTTCTTTGTAACTACTATTGCTTAAGATAGTAAATTAATATTCATAGTGTTTTTAGTTTTATGATATTGGACCTGTACTGCCAACTTATTTACTGTGAAGAAAAAAACCACACCATCAACCATGGGAATGACTTACCGGGAGCCGAGTGCTGTGGGGAGTGGCTCTGTAATTAAAACTGAGCCGATGTTTCTGTATTCTGGGGTTTGTAACTTGGTTCCCAAAACTAGTCCAGATGCAAA